CCCTCCTCCCCACATCCCCTTCCCCAGCACAGGCCCTCCCCCTCCCCATCCTTACCCCCTTCCCATTGTTATCCCCTCCTTCCATCTTCCTCAACAGCACAACCCTCCTTCATGCCCACCCAACCCGCACATAGACCAACCCCCCTCCTGGCATATACATCTGCTTGCCATCCATCCCACACATAGCACAATGCCTTTCTGCACAGCCACCCACCAGCCTTACTAGGCACAGGCCCTCCCCCTCCCCATCCTTACCCCCTTCCCATTGTTATCCCCTCCTTCCATCTTCCTCAACAGCACAACCCTCCTTCATGCCCACCCAACCCGCACATAGACCAACCCCCCTCCTGGCATATACATCTGCTTGCCATCCATCCCACACATAGCACAATGCCTTTCTGCACAGCCACCCACCAGCCTTACTAGGGACGTAAAAAAGGTTTTAAAAATGTAACCGTTAAGAATCCTAGCAGTTACATGGTTACACACATGGTGGTCTCTGCAGTATCAAGCTTGTACTGCAGAGCCCATAGCGCAGCCAGCTCCCTGGGAGTGGGGCCAGCAGCCCATGTGGGTGTGTACCGGGAGCCCCCTTATAAACCTGCTCTCAGAGTGCACCGGTTCTGGCTGCCAGCCCTGCTCCCAGGGAGCTGGCTGTACTGTGGGATCTGCAGCATAAGCTTCGTACTGCAGAGTCTGCAGAGTGGGGTGGCAGCCGGCTCCTCAGGAGTAGGATCGGGAGCTGGCAAATGGCAAAGTGTTTAACTGTAATGGAAACCAATAGTTATCAGTTAACTGTTTAAATGGTTGAATGCTTATATCCCTACTCTCTACTCAGTCTGTGAATCCACTGACTGCTGAAGTACCTCACTAACTCACTGCCTCAACCAGTTTCACTACATCAGAGTGCCCACCCAGTATTGCACACAGCATTGTCCCAAATTTACTCATTTGTCTTCCATCATGGACGTGTCACCCAGTATCACACCCTCCTCATCCATCCCACACAGAACTACCCTAATCCCTGCACCTCCATTTGCCATCTCTCCATCTCTCTCACACACAGTACAGTGCCGCCCATATTTTTGTTCCTTGTCTTTCTTTCACAAACACATCACCAACAGTCCCTGTGTACCTACTCATCACGTTACAGCAGTGGTTCTCAAACTGTGATCTGTGGCCACCTTCCATGGTCCGTGGCTCAAGCTCAGCCCCCCCTTCCCTCTCCCTGCATCAGTTTGCCCGTGCTGGCACTCTAGCCTCACGTCCCCATCCCTCCCCCCTGTGAGGTTGGAGCACCAGAATGGCTTCCATCTTGGGGAGGGGAAGTCCTTCCATGGGTCCAGCTCATGAGGAAGAAGTGCCCATATCCCACCCTCTCATTTTGCTCCTGCACTGCCCCCTGCCATGACCCCACAACTCCATCCCACTCCTGCACCCTTCCCCCTGACTAGACACCCTACCCTCATCCTGCTCCTGCACACCCCCTCCTAGTCAGACAGCCTTCCCCATGGCCTGCTCCTGCACCCTCCCTTGCTCCTGCACCCTCCACACTAGCTGGACACCCTATCCCCAGCCCGCTTCTGCACCCTCCACTCTAATCAAAACACCTTATCCCCTGCCCTTCTTCTGCATCCTCCCTTGCTCCTGCACCCTCCTCCCTAGCCAGACACCTTTTCCCCAGCCTGCTCCTACACCCTCCCTCCTGACCAGAGGCCCTACTCCCAGCCTACCTCCCTCCCTCCCAGACCTCATGCTCTCGCTCCCCCTCCTACACCTCACCTCCTGCATCCCCCATCTCTATCCCTCTCACTGGCAGCCCTGTCCCACACATTGAACCCCTCATTTTTGTTCCTACCCCAGAACCTAGGGGGTGTCCACAAAATCCACTTACCCCAAATCCCAGAAGAGAAAATCTGGCCCATAAGAAGCCCTGAACCTCAATACTCCTGGCCCTGTTGGGCTGGAGCACCAGAGGAGTGAGATGTCTCAGTTGGGGGCTGCGGTTTTTTAGAGGGGTTTTTTTTTTTTTGCTTCTCACTTGTGTGGTCCCCAACTGTTTTTTCTGTGGGTCAGTGGCCCCAATCCAAAAACGGTTTCCTGCCCTTTCATAAATAAAGAAAACATCAAAACCTTTTTAAAATGAAGTTTGATAAATTAACATGAGAAAGTTCAAGTGCTTACTCTGTTTAATAATTTAATATTTCCTTTCTTGCTGGTTAAATTAAATAGTTTCTCCCTGCTGCAGCACTATCAAAATGGCTGGGGCGTAATTATGTAATTAATAGTGAGTTTCCATTAGCAACTGGGAGTCCACAGAAAGGTTTGCATTGAGCCAGGCCAGCCACGGGTCAAAAAGTTTGAGAACCACTGCCCTACAGTACAGGCAGTCCCCGAGTTACGCGGATCCGACTTATGTCAGATCCGCAGTTACGAACGGGGTTTGCTCCCCATCTCCCTGGTCTGCTGGAGACCAGCAGACCAGGGAGACGGGGAGCAAAGCCTCTGAGGACGCCGGCAGCGGGACA